CCGGGGCCGCCAGCCTTTCTGCAGGGCGGGGACCGGGCCGAGGCACAGCCATTTTGGCCGTGCCCGGCGAGGCGGCGGCGGCGCCCCAGCCGTGCTCCGCTCCGCTCCCCTCCCCCGGCCTCTCATCGAAAACACCAAGTGCCTCCGAGCATCCCTCCGGCAGTTTAAACCGCAAAACCAGAACGCTTCGCAACAAAACCGCTGCCGCTTGCGACTTCGGGAAGCGTGGCGGTCCGCCCCTTCCAGAGAACAAACGCAAGGGAGCACGCCCGAGCGCCAAGGCGTCTTCTGCGGCGACAAGGGCAGCAAGGGCCGCGGGCCCACAGCAGCCACGGGGAAACCCCAGCACCGAGGGGCTCCCCAGGCCAGCGCTGCACCCCTGAAGTTCCAGAAACCCTTCTGGTAACAAGCCGCTCGGACGCGCTTCGCTCCTGGAGGGGCCGAAATGACACCTGCAGGCGCCATTCTTACCACGCCTACTCTTGCTTCCACCATCTCAGGCGCAGATGAGGAAAGCACCTGCATACCTGTCTGCCGGCAACCAGTAGCAATGTTATAGCTGTGAAACCAAAAGAACTGCCCAAGTGAGGCAGGAAGATAACATTATTGTTCCTAATCGCCGTTTCTATTAACACCCAAAAGCCACACTGGAGAGTTGTCACTGCAAAGACCCAGCAGCCCAAACTCCTGGTCACGGTTTTACTTCTCCTGGTGCCCCGAACCATCTCCAGTCTTCAGACAGGCTGCCTGCCCTCCACCCCCGAGGTCTTACTCCCCGTATTTGTCTTCTTTCGCTTTGATCTGTAGATCAGAAACTGCTGGACAAAAATCATTTTTTTAGATTTTAATTACATATCACGTGGCTGGGGAGCAGAGGAGGAGGAACAGCCCTTCCTCGCTACACAGTTTGCTAACAGGCCAGCAGAAAACTGGTTTTACCAGCTTTTCACTTTCAGCACAACCATCCCCGCTGCCGCTTGGGAAGATCATTGTTTTCCATTTCAAATGGGTGTTGAATAACCTCAAAAAGATGGCCGTGCCAAGCCTTAGCTGGGGAAAAGCTTCTGAAGGGAACAAAAAATCACGTCAAAAAGACTCTGTTCATAAATGTGGAATGATTTCTTTCAGTTGGCAGGATGAGGCAGGCTGTTCCAAAGGTCTCTCCGACCTGACTTCATGTGGTTTTAAACCAGCTGGCTTGTTTGAACTGAAATCCCTCTTCATTTCCATTTTGCCACACCAAAAAACAGTAGTTCCCCTTAAGTAACTGTCCCAAATTAGGTTCGTGGGAGTTGTGGTCAGGGAGTGAAGTACTGTAAGTATGCAAGCCGAATCTCAGAAATTTCCATTTATCATCCAAACATAACAAGCATTTTATACAGTACAGCATCAAAATCATGAGCCAGTATCTATGTGGAGCTTCTGCTGGGGGGATTATTTTACTATGAAACAAGTATGTACCGCTGTATTTTGTAAGTCACAAGCCACATCCAGAAAAAATGACCTCTAACAGTTCTGAGTAAGAGAGACAATGAAATTAACCCCTTAAGGATTGATAATAAAAAAAGTTCAGGTAATACATTTTCTAAAATTCAGGTAGTTTTTATCTGCCTGCACCGTATTGGATCTGTGCCACAGACCTGAACACACACAACTGCCTTTTCAGTCTATTTTAGCCCTGGAAGTGGCTGGTCGGTGCACAAAGCACGTGTACCGAGACATTTTCACAAGAGCTGGGTTCTGAAGAGTCACAAGTCACCAGTGCAGCTGAGACAAGAAGTCTAATCATCATTTTATTCCACCAGTTGTGAATATATTTAAGTACAGCACAGCAGGCCCAAAGCTAAAATAAAAAAATATCTGAAGGCCTGAAATCACTATGCCATAATTACATGCAATGCCAAAGCAGATATCCCAGAGTGGAAAAGACACACTGTTATCTTAACACAGATTTTACACTACAACACAACTATCTTTCAGACTTTTGCATTTAAAACCTTTCGGAAAACAACTGACAAACCCCTTGCTCTGCTTGAAGTGTATGGCCCCAAAGATAGCATTGCCATACTCTTTGTATATCCATCGATACAACCTTATGCACTCGCAGCATTACAGATGGTATTTTTTACATGACTGTCGGTTTTTCCCCCTCCCGTGACTGCATTCCTTACCTAAAACCCCAGCGGAAGACGACTTTGTTCTTCTGTCAGCTTTTCCCATTAATCTCAGCCACAAATACCGAGTTTAAAACTGAAAGAATGCCTAACAAAGTCCCTGAAAGCTCTGGCTCGAACCACTTACCAATTACCTGACAACATACATTTTCCAAACTTTCAGTAAACACGGTGCGCGACAGCTCCTGATCGTTTTTAAGCCAGGCTGTCATTGCTTATGCAACCTTTGAAAAGCGCAGCTGTTGACAAAAGATTTTGACTTTTCAGTTAAGGAGGGAGATGACTTCAGGCGTGCTAGCAGCTTAACGTCTCACGGGCGTAAAAAGAAAGCGAGGTCAGTAAAAAAAAACCCCGCGTCCTCGTATTCGATCCACCACACAATTGTAATTAATTCCCTGACTGACCTGCCCGGTCACGACCGACCCAAGCCGGGCCCGCCTGAGCGGCTTCCAGCTGATTCCTGCTGGGTCGCCCGCGAAGACCGGACCGCAGGAGACCTCACCTCCCGGCGGGCAGCGGCGGCTGCCGCCCGAGCGGAGCGGACGGGCCCCGCAGCGCTCCGCCGGCTTTGCGCGCCCGCCCGCGCGGAAACGCGGCCTCGCCACGCGCGGGGGGTGCAGCCACCCCCTCCGCGCTAACGCGGGCGGGCGCGCGCTTCTCACAAACCGGCCGCGAGCGGGCGGCGACGCCGGGACTGCCGAGAGAAAACCCTCACGCGAAGTAACGACACCACCGCCTCCCCCCCTCGCACACCGCAAGGTAACGCCTGTCCGTCCCCACTGCGCGCACCCGCCA